GCTGGCGCGCGGTGCAGAGGCCCAGCCGGGGGAAACGCATCCTGCCGAGGGGGGGGGGGGCGCGCGCGGGCGCGTGGCGGCGTGCTGCTTGCATGTGGCGTTCGGGAAGGCGCGGATGTCTCATTCCCCCGCCGGCGCGGGGTGCTCTCCGACGCGGTGGGAGACGCAGCTGACGCGCGCGCCCCTGTTCGCCGCAGCGCGGAGCACGTGCGGCGGAGGTGGAAGCCACGCTGCGGCAGCATTTGGCGCAGGTGCGCGATGCGCGATGCTCGGCGGCCGATGCGGTCATCCGTCGGCGCCGCACGGCGCTTGCGCGCGGCGGCAGAGAGCGCGGGCGAGAGCGGCAGTAGGGCGGAGCGCGCGTGCAGGATAATGCTGCAGGGCACGCGCGCGCGCGAGGCTGGCAGCACGGCGCGCGGGAGCGCGCGCGTGCGCGAGTGTCTCGGGCAGCCGCGGGTCGAGCCTGGGCTGGGCAGCGGGGTGGATGCGGAGGGGGAGGCCGCCCTGCGGCGCACTGCGCGGGACGGCGAGTAGGGCGAGAAGTCCGGATGGGGGCGCTGGCTCAAGACGCCCGCGGCGCAGCGTTGACAAGCGCGCGTGGGCGCGGGTTCCGGGCCGGCGTGGATTTGCGCGCCATGCGGGCAGCTCAAGACGGCTTCGATGAAACGGAGTACTCGGCTGAAGTCGTCGACCCGCTCCAGCGAGGAGTGGGGCGCTATTGTGTCGGAGCGCTGCGGCAAGAGGCAACTGCCGCGGTCTGGGGGGAAAGGGAAAGGAGTGGCGGAGGAACGCGATGGAAGGCAAGGAGATAGTGGGCGTCGGGCAGGGTCGTGGAGGGCATGGAGGTAGCGCGCGGAGCTCGAGCGCCGGATTCGGACAGAGCGTCTCAGGAGCATAGCGCCGCGCGCAGAAGTGCGACTCCAGGAAGGAAGGGGGCCGTCAGTCGCATGCCAGGCAGCAGTCGCGCGTTCGTGCGAAGCGAGAGGATGGGGCGTTGCGCGGGCCAGCCGCAGGCGGCGGCGCGCGCGGCGGGCGTCGCCATCGCACCAGATGGCGCGAACTTGATGGAGACCTTGTCCACGGCGAACGTCATCTTGCATGTGGAGCAGATCGTGGAGAGGTTCCACGCCAATGCAGTGATGCAGCAAACGATGAACAGCTGTTCGAGCACTTGTTCAGCGACTCGGGGCTGGAGCTGACGCTGGAGGGCATAGAGAGCAGCCCGTGGCACCAGAAGACGGAGGCGCTCTATCCGCGCCACCCGGGGCAGGCGCGCGGATTCATTGGGAAGCCCTCCAGCGTGAACTCGACGCGCGCTGCGGTGCCGCTCGAGGACGACGCGATGCGCTTTCTTCCTTCCACGCCCCGCGCGTGCGATGGTGCGATCGAGTGCAAGATGCGCGGGGGGGCGGCGTTGCTGGCTACGTCTGGTCTCGCCGAGGGCCCGCTGCTGGAGCACGAGAGCGCAGTGGCCCAATCGACGAAGGCCATGCAGTTCATGCAGGGGCGTGGTTGCGAGAGCTTGGAGAAGATGGCGGCGGCGCCAAGGCGCGCGACCACGGGCGGGGACCTGGAGGGCGTCATCGACGAGGCTGCGCAGACGGCGAATCCACGCGGGCTGCGGAGGGCGCGCGGGGAGCTGACTTCCTGATGGCGAAGAACGGCGAGGTGGGGAAGTCGAAGATGAGCGACCAGGACCTCCCCCGCGTGGCGCCCCGGCGCTGGGCGGGAAGACTTGCAAGCGGGCCGAGAAGTGCGAGGAGAACTTCGAGTTCGTCGCGTCCGCGGACTGCCGGCCGAGTCGGCTGCATGCGTACTAGCCGCAGACTTCGTCCGGCGAGTCGTTGCGCCTTGATTGCCTCTTCTCGTTTGAGAAGTACACGTTGAAGTTGCCGCGCCCGGCGAAGACGCCCCCCGGGCGCGGGCCGCGGTTTTTCTGCAGGACGCGCGCGTGAACCCGATCCGCGGCGCACGCGTGCAGCTGGGGAAGTGCGGGCAGTCCGAGGCACGAATTGTCGTGGACGAGAAGATGAAGAAAATGCGGCTGCTCATGGGGCGCGCGGCGATGGAGAGCCTGACGGCGCGAGAGTCTCGCTTCAGCGAGAGGGCAACGCAGGGCCCCATGTACTCGCTCGTGCGGGGCATGTTGGACGGCCGCGCAGTGTTGGAGTTGGCGAAGTCTTTCGGCGCGGAGCGCGCGACGCGGTTCGTTTTCAACCCCGAGCGCAAGTTAGCATTGCAGACCAGGGACCTGTGGGGCCGGCAGGGCCTGGAGAAGCTGATACAGCGGCCCCTGCGCCAGCGCGGCTGTGAATACAGTCATGAGAACCTATTCCAGGACGCGGAGACGTGGGGCCGCCTGCACGGCGCGCGCGCGCCCGCCGATGCTTCCAGCCCCGGCGGAGACGCCGGCCGCGGCAGTGGCGCCGAGCGCGCCCGAGGACACGGGGGCGGAGGCCGCCTCGGCGAAGGCGCGCGCAGCCCGCGACGCCCAGCACGAGGCCAGCCCGGAGCCGCGCGAGCCGCGCTGTCCAGCCAGGGCGCGGCGCAGCACCGACCGGGCACAATGCTCGCAGCGTTGCTGAGCGGTGACCATGCTCAACATCGTCGAACGTGCGGGGCAGGTCTGGCGCCAGGCGGACGGGCAGAACGCGCCGCGGTGGAGCGCTGCAATCGGGCAGCCCGTGACCATGTACAACAAGCAGAGCAACATCGACGCTGGCCCGGGCGAGCGCGGCAGGGCGGGCGGTGGGCCGTCGCTCCCGTCGGCGCGCTTACTGCCGCCAGAGTCGCAGCAGGGGCGCTCTTTCGCGGAGGCGATGTCGCGCCCGGGCGCGGCGCCAGACGGAGAGGGCGCCGCGGGCGCGAGCGCGGCGATGGAGGAGGAACCGCTGGAGTAGTGGCGTGTCGCGGGTAGGGGCGCGCGGGCGATGTGCGCGTCTGCGGCAGTTGCGCGAAGGATTATTAGTCAGCGCGCAGAGGCGCGGATCTGACCCCGCCAGAAGCTCAGGGAGGTCATATATATATGTATATATATATATATCTATAGAGAGAGAGAGAGAGAGAGAGAGAGACAGAAACAAAAAACAAGCAACAAAACAGAGTAAGGTAAAGAGGGGGAGAACGCGAGCACCAGGGAGAGAGGAAGAGAGAGAGAGAGAGAGTGAGAGAAAATGAATGGATTGATTCCACGCAGCGGCGCCGGCTCCCAGGCGCGAGCTCATTGAGGTGCGAGTGCGGAAGTGGCCGAGAATATGAGTTCGAGTGCGCAGAAGCGCGCGACCGACGCGCGCGCGTGCGAAGCAGGGGGCTGGTAGTAGCGGGCGGCGGACGAGAAGAAGGAGGCGGAGAAGAAGGGCTGAGGATTAAGAGAGAAAGGGCGCGGGAGAAGAAACGGATGAGGTGGCGGAGATAACGGAAGAAGAGAAACCGGAGAAGGAGGCATAGGAGGAGAGAAAGAGGCTGAAGAGGAACAGGGCAACCCTGAGGAAAAAACGATAATGGATTTAAATATTGAAAGATTGAAAGGTTGAAAGATTGAGAGACGGATAACCTTTCAATCATTCAATATTTCGACCCAGGGTGCCCGGATTGAGAGATCTTTCAATTTTCCCATTTTTTAATCCACAATCCCCCGATTGAACACATGTTCCTAATTTACAATCTGTCATTCCAGGATTCCCAGATTGAAAGACATTACAATCTTTCAAGCCTTTCAAACAGGCTCAATCCGAGCAATCCTGTGTTCGAAATGACTAACCGATAGGGGCCCGATTATTCACGCGGGCCAGGGATCTGCGGTTCTTTATCGGGGGCCTATCGCCGATCTATCGGCGATGTATCGCCGATTCCAGATCGGCGCTTCCTCGCCTGAGGTGGTCCCCCATTTACCGTCGCCCCTCAGAAAAATCGGCATGCATGGGGTTAAGGAACGAACCCAGCCAGATGCTCCCGATTCCTTTTTCCGGAGGTCGTTCAGGTCAGTCTTCTTCTCACGGTATGATGTTGCAACTTGCTTTAGCCCTGACCACAAGAAACCATAAAACACCAAGAAACTAGCAGAATTGCGGGGTTCTCGGGTGTCGGACCATGGGAGGCGATACCCGCTCGACACTTCGCCAGCGTGTCGGGCAGACACCGTGTCGATACCTACCTGGGTGCTCGAAATTATTTCTGGGATGGGATCCGTCAGCACGACGGGAACAGCATCACTACAACCCCCATTCTCTGCCCATGTCGAGTCTCTCTACGCCCCCCCGGGAGAAATTCCGGACGTCTGCGCGGGTCTCTCGGGTCGGTGCTGGACACCCCTCGTTCGGGTGTGGCTAGAAGTGCCCCTGGCCCAAGGTGTCCCCAGGATTCCCAAGGAGGCCCCCACGGCCTCCAGAGCACCCCTAACGAGGCCCAGAGAGCCCCAGGGGCTCCAAAATGGAGCGAAAAGCTGGGGGCACCTTGGGCCAGGGGTACCTTTAGCAACCCCCGACTCGTGGCGGCGCTGCTGACTCCCCTCCCCAGCCCGCTCCGCACGCCATGGGCGAACGTCCCCAGACATCCGACGATGCGATTGTCATGTAGTTCAGGAGGGGAAAAAACACACACAGACACAATTCATCGTCGATTCCCCGGAAAATATGGGAAATGCGGGAGGTGGGGGGGGGAAGGCAGAAACCAAGCAACTATGGGAAAATATGGGGGATCTGGTTATTTGTGTCTATTTATTTGTGTGTCCCAGTTCCCCTTCAGTAGTGTGCGGCCCCAGAAGTGTGTGCACCCCTTCCCGGGGGTAGTTTTTCGCCCCAGGCCCGTCTCTAATGGCCCAGGGGCCGATGACGTGCCCCAGAGCCTGAAATCACAGAAATAGCGCTGGGTTATTATCGCCCCTCCCTGGCACGCTCCGCCTCCCTGGCACACTCCGCGTGCCAGGGGGGTCCCCGGCGCCGGTCCAAGAAGTCCGCGCGCACCTCCGAATATGTTTGTGCAGGCCGTTATTACTTTCGGAGGTGGGCAGTGGCCGTACGTGCGACGACGAGGCTTGCGGCTGCAAGTGCGGCGCGGGGCTCTTCGTCGCTTGGGACAGCGGCCTGGTGTGGCTCACGCTGCTCATCGTCATCGCCAGGGGGTGGTTTTCACAGGAGGCAAAAGCACCGATACCGATACCCTCCCTCCTCTTTGGCTTTTTTTTACCTCCTGGGAGGCCCTCGTCGCCACGGCAGGACTCACCACGAAATTCTGGTCATAACGCGCCCCCTAGAGAGGTCCAGGGAGTAGCGGTCTCGGTTTGTTCGGGCTTGTGGTACTGGGGAGTGGCCCAACTGGGGGGTGAAGGAAAGGGCTTCAAAGGGGCACTCTGAGGACCCCGTTTGGAGCCAGCAGGGGCCCAAAAGAGACCCTCAAGGGCCCCTTAGGGCCTTTTTCTCCACCTCCGATGTGGGCCACCCCCCATTCCCACCCGCCCGATCTGTTTTGGCTTCCCCAGGTTCAAGGGCGAGGTCACCAAGAGGACGTCCACGCTGGAGGTCGCGATCGCCGAGTCGTTCGCCCCGCTGCTCATCTACTTCGTGGGGGAGCCCCTGCTGTTCGCGAAGAGCCTGGGCGACTGGGCCCTCAACGCCGTCGTGTTTATCGCCCCCCTCAGCGCCGTGGTCTTCACGGTCTCCAACGAGGAGCAGAGGGCCATCATCCGGCACCTCAAGGCGAGCCAGAGGTACCGGGCGGACAGCAACGGCGATGAGGACTGGACGGCAAGCCAACGAGAGAACAGAGGCCAGATTCGTTCTGAGTTCCTTCCAGGGCGCTCAAGGAACGCTGCCAGGACCACTGCTTTGGAACTCGGTTCGCCCTCCGGTTGTCGAAGACGCCTACGGCGAATCTCCGCCGCCCCCTGCCTTTTTGGAAGCGCCTGCGTGGCCGAAAGTTGGGTTTGAGCTTGGCCGAGATATCGGGCCACGCGTTCCCCGAATGGGTTTCGAAAGCTTTCGGGGAACACCGAGTCGAGCGAGCTATCGGACCAGGTGGTTTCCGAGCTTTCGGGCTTCCTGGCGGACGTCTTGGGGAGGGGTCTTGGGCCGTGAGGGCTTGCGGGCCTTTTGGGCAGTCGAAGGCCAATTTGGGGCCGTCTTGGGTGCATCTTGGGGCCATCTTCGCCTTCTAGGAGTCCTTCTTGGCCGTCTTGGAGGCATCTTGGAGGCCATCCTAGACGTCTTGGAGGCCACCTTGGGCGTCTTGGAGGCCTCTTGGGCCGTCTTTGGGGCCTCTTGCAGTCGTCTTGGAGGCCTCCTCGGCCGTCCTGGGGCCAAATTGGATGCCTCTTGGGCGATCTTGGGGCGATCTTGGGGACCTCTTGGGCCGTCTTGGGCTGTTGGAAGGCCGAAAATAAGCAAATGCCATTTTCTTAAGAGGAAAATCAATGATGTTCACCTCTTCGGGCCGTCCTTGAGGACCTCTTGGAGGCCTCTTTGGCCGTCTTGGAGGCATCTTGGACCCTCTTGGACCGTCTTGGAAGCCATCTTGGACCATCTTAGGTGAACTTGGAAGCCATCTTGGGCCATCTTGCCCATCTTGGAGGCATCTTGGAGTCCATTTGGGGCCATCTTGGGCATGACAGGTATTGACATGTGCAGTTTGGGGTCTCTTCGGGTGGCTGGCGGGACGGGCCGAAGCCTCAGTGAGTTTTCTGAAAGAACCAAAATCGAAAGGGTCTAGTACGCCGGGCACCCCTGTGGCAAGTCAACAGGGGGCGGCGGATCGAAGACGCCTACGGCGAATCACCGCCGCCCCTTGCCTTTTTGGAAGCGCCTGCGTGGCCGAAAGTTGGGTTTGAGTTTGGCCGAGATATCGGGCCACGCGTTCCCCGAGTGGGTTTCGAAAGCCTTCAGGGAACACCGAGTCGGGGGAGCTATCGGACCAGGTGGTTTTGGCCCTTTCGGGCCTCTTGGAGGATGTCTTGGAGGGGTCTTGGGCCGTCTTGGAGGCCTCTTGCGGGCCGTTCGAGCAGTCTTAGGCCGTCTTGAGGCAATCTTGGGCCGTCTTGGGTGCATCTTGGGGCCATCTTCGCTGTCTTGGAGGACTTTGGGCGTCTTGGAGGCATCTTGGAGGCCTCTGGGGCCGTCTTGGAGGCCATCTTGGGCGTCTTGGAAGCCATCTTGGGCGTCTTGGGGGCCATCTTGGGCGTCTTGGGGGCCTCTTGGGCCGTCTTGGGGCCTTCTTGGGGCCCTCTGGGGGGCCTCTTGGGCTGTCATGGAACCATCTTGCAGGCCTCTTGCGCGCTCTTGGGTCGATGTTGGGGGCCTCTTGGGCCGTTTTGGGCCGTCGGAGAGCTGAAAAGAAGAAAATACCGGAATCCTTCAACAACCACCGGAAAATCAATGATTTTGGCGCTTTCGGGCCTTCCTAGAGGACGTCTTGGAGGGCTCTTGGGCCGTTTTGGAGGCCTCTGGTGGGCCTATTGGGGAGTCTTAGGCCATCTTGAGGCCATCTAGGGCCGTCTTGGGTGCATCTTCGGGCCATCTTAGCCGTCTTGACGGCTATCTTGGGCGTTTTGGAGGCATTTTGGAGGCCATCTCGGCCGTCTTGAATGCCATTTGGGCGTCTTGGGGACCTTTTGGGCCGTCTTGGGGCCTTCTTGGGGCCCTCTGGGGGGCCTCTTGGGCTGTCATGGGGCCATCTTGCAGGCCTCTTGGGCGCTCTTGGGTCGATGTTGGGGGCCTCTTGGGCCGTCTTGGGCCGTAGGAGAGCTGAAAAGAAGAAAATACCAAAATCCTTCAACAACCACCGGAAAGTCAATGATTTTGGCGCTTTCGGGCCTTCCTAGAGGACGTCTTGGAGGGCTCTTGGGCCGTTTTGGAGGCCTCTGGTGGGCCTTTTGGGGAGTCTTAGGCCATCTTGAGGCCATCTAGGGCCGTCTTGGGTGCATCTTCGGGCCATCTTAGCCGTCTTGACGGCTATCTTGGGCGTCTTGGAGGCATCTTGGAGGCCATCTCGGCCGTCTTGGAGGCCATCTTGGGCGTCTTGGGGGCCTCTTGGGCCGTCTTGGGGCCTTCTTGGGGCCTTCTGGGGGGCCTCTTGGGCTGTCATGGGGTCATCTTGCAGGCCTCTTGCGCGCTCTTGGGTCGATGTTGGGGGCCGCTTGGGCCGTCTTGGGCCGTCGGAGAGCTGAAAAGAAGAACATGTAAACAGCCTTCAAGAACCATAGGACAATCAATGATTTTAACCTTGTCGGCCTTCCTGGAGGACGTCTTGGAGGGCTCCTGGGCCGTCCTGGAGGCCTCTTGTGGGTCTTCTGGGCAGTCGTAGGCCATCTTGAGGCCATCTTGGGCCGTCTTGGGTGCATCTTGGGGCCATCTTGGCCGTCTTGGAGGCCATCTTAATTGTCTTGGAGGCATCTCGGAGTCCTCTGGGACCACTTGGACCGTCTTAGGTGTTTCTTGTGCGAACTTGGAGGCATCCTGGACTGTCTTGGCCCGTCTTCGAGGGCATCTCGGACCATCTTGGGCGAGCTTGGAGGCCATCTTGGGCCATCGTGGCCATCGCGGAGGCCATCTTGGAGCCGTCTGGAGGCGAAACACCCTTTGCAGCCACCTTTCGGGCATCTGTGCGCGCCCTTCCGGGTGTCCGACAGGACGGGCCGAAGCTCCAGGGGGAGTTCTGAAATAATCAAAAGCGAAATGATCCAGCACGCCAGGCACCCCTGTGGCAAGCCAACAGGGGGCGGCGGATCGAAGACGCCTACGGCGAATCACCGCCGCCCCCTGCCTTTTTGGAAGCGCCTATGTGGCCGAACGTTGAGGCCAGACCTGCCAAGCTATCGGACCATGTGTTCCCCGAATCGGTTTGGAAAGCCTTCGGGGAACACGTGGGCATCTTGAAGGTCATCTTGGCCGTCTGGAGGCCATTTTGACCCTTTCGGGCCTTCTTGGAGGACGTCTTGGAGGGCTCTTGGGCTGTCTTGGAGGCCATCTTGAGCGTCTTGGAGACCTCTTGGGCCGTCTTGGGGGCCTCTTGGGGCCGTGTCTTGGGCCTCTTGGGCGATCTCTTTGGGGGCACTTGGGCCGTCTCGGGCCGTCGGAAGGCAGAAAAAACGCAAATGCCACAATCCTTCAGAAACCCATGGGAAAACTAGGATTTTGGCATTTTCGGGCCTTCCTGGAGGCCCTCTTGGAGGCCTCTTGGGCCGTCTTGGGCCATCTTAGGGCCATGTTCGGCCGTCTTGGTGGGCTCCTGGTCCGTCTGACGCCGTCGGAAGCCGTTTGGGGGGCCTCTCTGAGCCGGCTTGGGGCCCTCTTGGAATGCTCCAGGGCCGTCTTGGAGGCCATCTTGGACGTCTTGGAGGCCTCCTGTGCCATCTTGGGGGCCTCTTGGGGCCGTCTTGGGGCCCTCTTGGGCCGTTCTGGGGCCATCTTGGAGGCCTCTTGAGCGATCTTTCGGCGATCTTTGGGGGCTCTTGGGCCGTCTCGGGCCGTCGGAAGGCCGAAAAGAAGCAAATTTCAAAATCCGTCAAAAACCTTAGAAAAATCAATGTCTTTGGCTTCTTCTGGCCTTCCTGGATGCCCTCTTGGGGGCCTTTTGGGCCGTCTTGGGCCAACTTCGAGTCAATTTCGGCCATCTTGGTGGGTTCCTGGCACGTCTGACACAGTCGGGAGCCGTCTTGGGGGCCTTTCTGGGCCGTCTGTCTTGGGGCCATCTTGGCCGTCTTGGAGGCCATCTTGGGCGTGTTGGAGGCCTGTTGGGCCGTCTTGGGGCCCTTTGGGGCCGTCTTGGAGGCCACTTGGGCCGTCATGGGGCCCTCTTGGGGGCCTCTTGGGCGATCTTGGGGGCCTCTTGGGCCGTGCTGAGCCGTCGGAATGCCGAGAAGATGCAAATTTCAAAATCCGTCAAAAATCCAATGAACATCAATGATTTTGGCCTCTTCGGGCCCTCCTGGAGGACCTCTTGGAGGCCTCTAGGGCCGTCTTGGAGGCCATCTTGGGGCCGTCTGGAAGGCCTCTTGGGCCGTCATGGGGCCCTCTGGGGGGCCTCTTGGAGGCCATCTTGGCCGTCTTGGGGGCATCTTGGAGGCCATCTTGGGCCATCTTGGCCGTCTTGGATGCCATCTTGGGCGACTTCGAGGCCTCTTGGGCCGTCTTGGGGCCGTCTTGGGGACCTCTTGGGCCGTCATGGGGCCATCTTGGAGGCCTCTTCGGCGATCTTGGGACGACTTTGGGGCCTCTTGGGCCGTCTTGGGCCGTCGGAAAGCCGAAAATGCGCAAATGCCACAATCCTCCAAACACCTAAGGAAAACACATGATTTTGGCCTCTTCGGGCCTTCCTGGAGGACCTCTTGGAGGCCTCTTTGGCCCGTCTTGGAGGCCTGTTGGGGGTGTCTTGGGCCATCTTGGAGGCCTCTTGGGAGCCTCTTGGGCCGTTTTGGGCTATCGTGAGGCCATCTTAGGCGGTCTTGGGTGCATCTTGGGCCGTCTTGGAGGCATATTGGGGCCATCTTAGCCACCTTGGAGGCCATCTTGGCAGTCTTGGAGGCATCTTGGAGGCCATGTTCGGCCACCTTGAGCGAAAATGCCGACGAGATTGGGGAATTGAGCGCCTTCCGGGTGGCCGGCGGGACAGGCCGAAGCCCCAGGGGGAGTTCTTTTGGAAAAAGAACCAAAACCAAAACCGAAACCGAGAGGGTTCAGCACGCCAGGCACCCCTGTGATGAATCAACAGGTGGCGGCGGACCTAATAGCATTCAGCCCATCCC